TTTTTTTTTTTTTCTTTTTCTTTTTTTTTTTCTCGGAGACAGTATCTTGATGTAGCCCTGGCTATCCTGGTAATCCTAGGATTTTCTATGTAGACCAGGCTGGCCTTGAACTCTCAGTGATCTTCCTGTCTGCCTCTGGGTGCTAGAATTGCCACTATGCCGGACTCTTTCTTTTTGAGACCTGATCTTACTCTGTAGCTCTGGCTGGCCTCAAACTTTAGCTCTTCCTGCCTCCGCCTCCCGAGTGCCAGGATTACAGGTGTGCACTATTGAGCCCAACATCATTTAGAGTTTATGAAAAAATGGTCGGTAGTTCAGGTGACATGGTTCAGGCTTTCAGAAAACAGTTGCTTAACTTTTGACTTTTCTGGCTCCAGATGCAACTGCTTCGTACAGTCTAGTTAGTTTGTTTCAGCGGCCTGGTTGAACAGGAGGCCCCTCCCTCGGAGCCTGATGGCCTTCTGCACACTGGCAGGGCCTCTCCCCCAGGTCTGAGCCCCACTGGCTTCCAGTCCAGAGCAAGCACTATTCTTCCCGCATGAGCCTTGGGCCAGCTGGCCACCTCCCTCCTGCGTCTTTCACTCTCTCCTGTCTCTCTCTTTCTCTCTCTCTCTCTGCGCAGATATTGTGGGCACTCTGAGGCCAGATGAGAAGGCCATCATGACTTACGTGTCCTGCTTCTACCACGCTTTCTCGGGGGCCCAGAAGGTGAGCCAGGGTGGGAGTCCACTGCTGTGGACTCAGATTTGCCCTTTGTGTCACATGCACGCCAGCACTGTGGGTCCACATGTACCTGGGTAGAGCCCTGGCTGACCAGTGGTGAATCTGTCCCCAAACCTCACAGACGTTCTTGCACTTGAGCATAGCCACCTATGGTAGACAGTGACACAGCTCGAACCACAGACGGGGTAGAAGTCCAGCATCACAATAGATGATAAAGCCGGGCTGGGACCCCTTGCTTGTCATGACCTCTGCTTCAGGGCCACTTACCTGGTGAACCTCCTTTCAGGAAATTCTTTCCTGCTCAGGCGCTGAGGAGGCTCCTGAGAGCAGGCTGCCTCTGGAGCTGATGGAGGTGGGACAGGTAGACGTGTCTATTTTGTCCTGAGTCCCCCAGAGGTCTGCTGACCTCACACCACAGCGTGGCTCCTGCCAGGGACTCACGGTTCTACGCAGAGGCCTGGGCACTTCTGTGCCCTCCTGGTCTTGAAAAGTGGCTTGGACAGCAGCATCATGTTAGCCAGGAGCTAAGAAGGGATGGGTGCTTGCTTTGGGAACCTTTGCCTCGCTGGGCCCTCTCCAAGGCCATTAGACCCATCTGAAAGAAAAGGAAACTGAGGCTCTGAAACTGTATCTGTCGTCTTCTGTAGACTGCCTTCTTAGATTAGAGCATTACATCCAGTGGGTGCCTCACCGTGGGCAGTCTGGTCTGCCCCTGCTTTGCCCTCTCTTGGTGCATGTTCTTGAGTAGTTTACTCGACCTTAGTGTCCCCATTATAAGATGAGAGTCCTATTACCCCTTACAGAATTTTTCTAGGCATGAAATAATAAGCTCCAGGGCTTAAGGCAGTCTGTGGCACAGCAAGGCTACCCAGTTCTTTCCAGACCCCTCCCCAGATAGCCAGCTTTCAGAGCCCCTTTCCCATCTGCCCAGCATGGGTTAGCTCTTGTACCTGGTGTGTTATGCTGGGGGGCATGGGGAAGGAGGAAGCCCATATCCCCCCCCCATGCTGGTAAGGAAGGCTGAGTGGGAACAGGTAGTGACCAGCCCCAGCTAACAGCATGACTACTACTGGACACCCACAGTGGGCCTCCCTAGCCTCATGTTGTGTTTGCCTCCACACCTGGAACTGTCCTTACTTAGGTCTGGTAGAGGGAGGACAGGGGATCTGCTGGATCCACCTTTCTCGTCAGAGTGTACCCTCAGGACACCTGGCAGTGCCTTTCACTCTTGCTGTCGTTTCCCCAGAGGCCAATCTGTCGCCTCAAAAAGTGTTTTCTGGGTGAATTCAGGCCTGGCACAAGAGTGCTATCCTCCCTGTGTCTGGTTCCCAGAGCATTCTTTCTTCCTTTATGCACTTACATTCATCCATCCTGGGCACCTAAAACGCCCCAAGTCCCAGCAGTGCAGCAGAACACCTGGCTACAGCACCGCAGCTGCAGAGTAGGTTAGAGGGTAGAGCTGGGGTACCAGCAGACTGCTCAGTCAGGGTCCGAAGCTGACCCCAGCAGCACCTCTGGCATAGGCCCTTGTGAGTCTCACCCTGAAACAAGGTCTGGTGTTAGTCCCGGGGGCTTCCTGCAG